AATGCACTTTATATAATCCATTAAACCAAAGGCATAAAATAATTTGCATTTGAAAATAGTAGATAGAACATAAAACAAAAATTATACGTGTATTGTACAGTACATACGCTTCGTGCGGCTTCCAATGTTTTAGTTTCTATTTTTTTTAATTTATTTTTTTTTGTTCCTTTCAGGATATTCAATACAATCTGTTTTGTTTAAAATAAAAAGCAGTCAAGAATTGTATTGTAAAAAATTCCATATTCAAAAATGCTTTAAACATTTTCGTTATCGTTAAACAAATCATATATGGTAAAGTTACGTATAATAATTAATACGTCATTATGTTAAATTAAGACAAAATTAATGTAAAAGAATATTCTAAGCAGTTATAAATTTTATAGTAACCACGATAGAATAATGCTCTGCGGATAGTCGAGACAGTTAAGACGGTAGCTGTCCTCTCTGGGGAATCCGGAATTGAATCCGGGTGATGTAATTTCTGGATTTTTTCATGGGAGATCTTTTCCGGATACGTCGAACCCATTCCTCATTTTGAACACTAAGAGGATCTTTATATATATATATATATGCCTATACACAATATACACAATAATGTATACAGTATATAAAATAATATATTACGATCTTTAATTTGCATCCGTTACTATATTTTATCTTTTCTATTTATTCATGTTTTGGATTTTTTTTGCATTAAGCAAATAAGCAAGAATAAATTTCTAATTATAAAATTTACTTTGATTATTTGAAAACTTAAAATTAAGAAGTTAGAAATTATAATATCGTAGCTACATATTCTTTCAAATAATAAATAATAATTTTTAACTAAAAACTTCCAATGAAATTTTATTGTGAAGCATTACTTAAAATTTATTTTTGTTAATTGGATTTTATTGTTCCACCCAGACAAATGGAATACATTTCATCCGAAGACAACAAAAATTATAATTATTTTTCGAAAATATTTATAAGCGTTTGTTTTCAAAAGACTCTTTAAAACATTGAAGGAATCGAAATATTTATAACAAAAGAATCATAAATAATAATCCGTTGAGAGTCAACGAAAATTTTATTTTCAAAAAAGGAGCAGAATATATAGGATAAGACAATATTTATTTTTCAATATTTTCAAAACTAGAAGAATGAAATTTTAAGAACTTCTCGTTTAAAATATACAATAATTCCATGAATATCCTTTACAAATCACTGAAAACACATCAGTAACAAAGAATATGTAAACCTGTACTTTTGAAACCAAATAAAAGGGTAAAGATCGACAAAAATACAAAAAAACTCGTACAATAGCCGGAGGAAAGAGCTTCGAAAGGAAAAGCTTCGCATCAAATCTCTGATCTTTTTGAACCAAAATAAACGAAATGGAAACTAAAATTCAGGATAATAAAGAAAAGGAGAACGAAGAAAAAATAAGATTTTTATTTCTTGATCAAAGCATCATTGAATCGAAAGAAAAAAATTGCCTTAACTTTGCGATAAAAAATTCGAGTAATATTGATAAAAACGATATAAAATTTATATAATCTTCCGTAAAGGTATTTGTGGTGTTCGGAAAACTGATCATAAGCAGTAATGCTAATTTGAATAATAATAAATTAATTTTTAAGTTACTTCAACTTTTCTAGAAATACAAAACATTTTTCAAAAGTGAAAAAGTACAATGAAATGATCAAATTACATCACTATATACGAAATATATCATATATTTTACGAAAAGATCCTTTATTAGATGATAATATATTTTATATATAAATCCAATCAATACTCATAGTATAATAAAGAATAATATGAAAAAATGATTGAAATTGCAAAATGACAGTAAGTAAAATTTATAAAAAAGAGAAAAGAAGCAGAATTATTATTCAATCATTATAATATGAATAAATCATTTCTTAAAGGATACGGATATCTTCTTGTTTTCCTATAAATTATTCATGATCAAATCAACTAATGCTATTCTGCATATTCATTCACGCCTATTAAATTAGCTCTATAATTTTAATGTAAAAATATTTTATTTACTGATTGCTGCTTTTATTTAATTCCTTTCACATTCAGTCAACATAACAGTATTCACTATGAGCTGATAAAAAAAACCCTATAAAAATGAGTAAAAAATTTATTTTGTAGATTTTTAAATTAGCATCTAATTACATTTTTGAAGTTTGAGTTTAATATTTTTAGATTTTTAAAAATAAATTTATTAAATATAATTTATTATAAACATTAATAATTTACATTTAAAAACTTTAAAAGTGTAGTTGGATAAAGAATTGAGGTTTAAATATATCGAAGTATCTGAAAAAATTATTTTTTAATTTATAACATTATCAATTTCAAAATTAATAATACAAGCATAATTAAAATATAACTTAATATAAAGTATTATAATTCAAATTATAATTGATTGTTTTAGTATAAAAGTAAAACTCCAGACTTTGAAGCTAAAAGTTTGTAAAGTCTGGGGTATTAAATTAGTGCAATTGGTTTTGAATGATTAATAAATATAAAACTTAAAGACCGAATTAAAAGTATTCTGATAATAAAATGGTAAAGAATTTATCTGAAATAATAAATTTAGACAATATAATTAATTGTAATAATAAGTATAATAAAATATATTTTTGATTTCTGTTAAAAAAATGGACCATAAAAAATAAATAACATTTTAATTTTTATTCTAAATATGTTTCATCTTGCGCATCAGTTTATATGTAAAAACGCTATTTTTCAAAACATTTGAAATTCAAACACATAGGCCTATATCTTTTCAGGATTTCAGGATAACATTCCCTTATATCCTTATATAGCTTCATTTAATTCATCTACATCAATTTACTATTGAACGTATTAAGATAATGAAATCGTTATTAATCTTATTTATATTTTATTTAAGTGAATCAGTAATAACATTCGAGAATTTCTGTGGAAAATATAGTCTAATTGGAGATATCAGAATTTTTATTAATTTATTTATTAATTAAAAGAATGCTTCACAAACAATTGAAATGAATTCAGGATGATGGAGAGAAAGAGAAGACGATAGATCGCATTGGTCTTGAGACGTCAACCTACTTAAGTTAATGAATTCGAGATCGAAAAAGGGAAGTTGACCTGATATAATAATATAAATCCTTGCCTTATTTACTTTGTAATAACGTGCCTGTTTGAGAATTATACTGAATATTAATAAAAACTGTATTATTATTATTTAATTTATTATGAGTAAATTTAATAATCTAGACAATTTAATAATTTTAATGCAATTTTAGTCTAATTATCATATGAGAGTTTTATTAAATCAAACAAGCCCCGTTACAACCAAAGATTTATAGTTTTAATATTTAATATTGAAAGGAAAAAGTGATTTATTCCATTCCTGTTTATACTTTGTTAATATTAAGGATGTAAAAGAATTTAGCCAGAGAATATATGATAATGTTGTTTGTGACAGCGCAATATATAGGCTATATGATAAATGAATAATAGTTAACATGAAAATATTTAGTTTAGAAAAAAGTAGTCCAATCCATGTGCTCCTTACAGCAAAAAGTCAAGAAATAATTAATTTATATAATGAATAAATTATTTTAATAAATTCAATTTCCTTAACTTCATCACAACTCTATATTTCAATTTTAAATTTCCAGGGATTTTTGGGAGATGGTATATCCCGGATATATCGGGCCTCATCCCTTACCACCCGATCGCTCTATTGTTTGCCTGGACGAATCCACGATGGACCCAAAAAAGACTTTCTTAGTGCCAATAAGGTGGAAAGAATAAAGTATAAAAAATACAATAATGCTTGATATAACTTTTTTAAACACAAATGATTGCAAATATAAGTTTGAATGAAGGCCCATCAATAGACGAGTGGATAAAACATTGAACACTTGTTAGTTGATCGGGATGTTCGCGCCTGACCAACGACTGGTTAAGGCTGATTTTAAAAAAATTTGATAATACGGAATTTAAACTTACCAAAACAAAAACTCACAATTTTACAAATAAACTATAAAAATAAAAAGATTATTTGAATCAATGCGTAAAGAGCTACGTTTACAGAACACCAAAGAGTTGGTATGCGAGCAGACGCGTAATTTTTGTCACCGACTTTTATAACAATAGGCATTTTAGCGAATACCACCTCCATTCGGTCGACGATAAAAAATGAAAAATAAATGAAAATTTATAAAAAACACTTCAAAATTCTAAAAAAATATTTCGCGATACACCTGAGGCACTTTCTGTCTCATGTGTCGCGACACATTGGTATGGAAACACTGCCTTATTCTACAACCAACTTTGAATGAACAGAATTTTTTTCACTATTTTAATCATAACATAAATGCAGTTGAAATAATGCATGCATAAACACACACACACATATATTATATGCTTATATTATGTTTATGCATTCATATAGACAAAAATATGTATGTTTGAAGCCAATGAAAATACCTTACATAATCGCAAGTTAACAAGTAAGTTATTTCAAAAATATTAAATCTTGTAAACTATGACGAAAAATAAGTAATTTATTATATATTTTTTAACATTATAATAAATTTATATTTGAAAAAGTAAAAAATTGAAGGCATCTTTCAAATATGTCAGTTGTTTTAGAGGTAAAGAAATTGTTATAAAAAGAGTAAAATTCGGCGAAAAATTGATATTCTAAAAATAAGCTAACAACTTCTGATTTTTTATATATGTTGATACATTTTATATTCATATAAATATTTATTTATTCAAAAATTCCTTTTACTATATCCGTTTGACTTTGCCGGATTATTTACAGTTACAAAACAAATATTTCAAATCTTACCCAATTGAATAAATTACAAAAGATCGATTACGGAAACATAAATCTTCGATAGAAATATTTAAATATTATGTAAGACATTTAATTTTAAATCCGAAAATTTGTCTACATGTAAACAAAATAATTGGAAAAGTGAGATAAACTGACTACACGCAAATAATTCAAATTATTCCAGAATTGTTTTTACTTCTGAATTTTATTAAATTTTGTTTTAAATAAATTACTTAAAAGTCAACAGAAATTTTGTTTACTCGTTCGAAATTAAAAATCAAATTTATAATATATTTATTTTTGTTTAAGCTCTGAGAGCAGCGGGAAGAAATCCTTCAATGGACAATATTCCATCAGCAGACCAGAAGCGCTTTAGTTGTTCGAGTTTGGTGTCTTTTGGAAGACTCACTTGATATTTGAATTCTTTGTCCGAGTCGTTTGACTTTGCATGAACCTACAAAACACATATTATTTTATAATTATCGAGAAATTAATACATTCAACGGTTTGGACTTACTATCAATCGATCATCTTCGATGTTTATCAAAACCTCATCCGCAGAATAATCTTTAACATCGAAGCGAACATCCAGATTTCTTCCTTTAGAAAGATCTTCCATAATAAAAGGTCCCGACAAAGATTTCTCCTTAGTTTTGACTTGTTCGTTTTCAGAATCCGAAGAGAATAAGGGCTCGTAAGTGCCCATGCTTTTTCTGAATCGAACCATCTCTTCTTCTATTTTCTTTATTTCGGAAACAAGACGGCTCTCGATAGAATTAAATTCTCTTTCTAACAACTCGACATCAGTCAAAACTTCTTTCTGATTTGTAGCCATTCCGCAAATTAATGCTAAATAAATTATAATTTATATCAAAAATAAAAATGTCAAAGAAAAAAACAATTTCAGAAATCTTACATTCGTGCTGCGAATAATAACGGCAAGAACAAATACCAAGCTAGCAATAAATATGGATACAACAATAAGTATATTGTTAAATTATGCATAAACTATTGTTTTACTTCGGTTTAATTACAATATATTTTGCATTCGTTAGACATCTACGCTTTCTCCCTTTGTTTATATGAAAAATTATTATATTCAATGGACTCGGTCGTGATGTATTTTTAATTCATTAATATGTCAAAGCGTTCGGGAAACCAGTATATTTTTAACTCGGTTTTAAATATCTCAAATACTGTAACAACTCGATAATCGTGACAAGTATATCACGATTAACGCTTATTCAATCGGCATGGCCTTAAGCTCCGTACCACATTCACGATGGCTGTAAAATCCTAATCATAAATTAAAGCAAGCTCACGATCGTACTACTAATACAAAATTCTGATCATGGATAAATGATAAAATCTCGGTTGCTACGATATCGGTTACGGCAGTTTCCATCATTGAAAATGTGACATTTTTGGGTCAATCCGTGACGGCGTATGAAGATATTGTATTCGAAATAAATTTATATAATGTTGCGTTTACACGTGAACCGATATAGTAGATCATCTCTATATTATTATATATCTAAAACTATATTTCCAGGAATATAATTTCAATTTATAACACCGAGATTACGAAAAGTAGCACAAGCTCGCTTTACGACGGCTTTCTAGGAATCAATTAGGTTGTAAAAGCAGAAGTATACTGTATATAATAAAAAATAACCATATTTTTACGCAGGAAAGATCAAATATCAGCCTAATTTGGTGATATTTTTATACATTGTAACTTTAGGTATGATTTACTAGCAATATAACAATGATATACCGGGTAATAAATGCCTCGAAAGTCTCAACAGTGAATTATTAAACATTACTTATTGCTCGACGTATATTTACAATCCGTAAAACATTATATATAGACATAATTATACGTTTTTGGATCTGTGTTTCCGTAAATAGGTTTAAAAATTATTAAATATATTTCCCCCCCTATAACTTCCGATAAATCATGTTATGAAATTCACAAATTTCAAAGTAATTTTTTCGTTTTTCAAGTACAATTAAAGTATCGATACTTTAAAATTAGATACAAAGTCCCCTAATTTGCTAAAACTACTAATTGTCCCTATTTACACAAGACTTTTCTTGTATATTAATATAAGACATACAGTATTAACAAATATAGACGATTATTCTTATCAATTGATAAATTCAAAATATTAAATAGTCCAAATTAAAATCTGACCTTTAATCCTTTCATGTGTACATCACATATTATATATATATATATGAAACATGTGATGTACGTATGAAATTTCATATATTCTTTATATTTATGTACTGTACAGTACTATTTTATACGTGTATATAAAGAATAAACTTTAAAAATTGTTTTGTTAACTCGTGAAATTTTCTTTCCAGCTCTACTTTTTAAAAAAAATATTAATAATTCTTTTTGAATTATAAAAATATTGTATAAACTGTATTTGACTGTCAAAATTCAGAGATTTGGGATTCTTTTCCGAATAACAAAAACAGAATTACTTTATTCTGGATTCCCGAAAAAAAAAAAAAATCGAAATAATTTAAATTCGCATCTTTATCGTTTGTGACTATTATCTCTTTTTAAAAACAATTTAATTGCTAATTATTTCGGTTCTAAAAACACTTTTACGTTAATAGAGTGCGTTAAACATTGCGTTAAATTAACAAGCTAAAATTATCATTTCAGAGACTATTAGCATTCTTTTAACTGTTTAATTTACATAGATTTGCTCACAATAAATTTCAATTCATTAATTAAAAACCCATTCGAATTTGAAATGCTTAAAGAAAAATATTCAACTAAAGTGAAATATTTTTTCATTATTCATGAATATTTAAATAATTTTCAAATTCCAAGATCATTGTAGAAACAGTATAAGCACACAGAGCATCGAATACGGAATTATTTAGCACTTTCATTACTTTTTATAACCAGATTCCTGGAGAAAAACCTTATTGTTATTCAATAAGTTGGGAAGGATTAAGTTACAGGTAATAACTGGTGAAGATTACAGCATCGTTCATCGGAGCGGAAAGACGATCTCAATCAGTCAAGCATTGATAGCTCTTTAATCAGGCAACCTGCGACCGGCATATCGAAAACTAACAAAGTTAGTCGTTTACTTGATTGATGTTACCGCAAAACACAAACAAACTTTTAATAATGAAAATTCCATCTCGTCATACACCAAAGAACCGCGTCGTTTCTTAGAATTGTTCGAATTTCAATTAAATGAAGTTGTAAAAGCAACACATCTTTATTAAAATAAATTTTATCATAACAAAAACTTTCGAGTGCTGCCATCTGTTATGAATAAAAGCAATCAATTTAAATAAATTAATTTTATAATAATTTAATAGCCGTTTTTAAAAGTTTGTTAACTGAAGTTACAGTAAATATTTACACAAATTTCGTTTTAAAATTTTGATCATTTCACTGTAATATCGCACAAAATTAAAATATTTGCTTTGTTTATATGTATTATTTTGCTTTTTTAATACAATTGACAAATTAAAAAAATAAATAAATTTGAAACTATTTAGCACTATAAAATATAATTACGAAATATTTTAGTAATCAGAAAAACAGATTAATTTCTCTCTAAATTATCTCGATAAGATAAATAAATAAAATTTTCACTTATAAATTATTACAGGAAATCATATAGATCTTATGTAAACATTAATAAGATCTATATGATTTCCTATGACTTATGTTATATAAATCATGTTAAGTGTAGTATAAATTCAAGTTTTAATTTAGCTAATGTATATTTGGTAATATCTACCAATAAAATGTAAGAAGTTTTCTAGCTAACTGTAAATAATACAGTATATATAATAATAAAAATAATAAGTCACTCAGGAAAAAAGCTGTAAGCTCTTTATAATTTATATTTAACACTACTTATTCTAATTAATATTGCCGTTTTAAAATAGTATTTATTTAATTATTTAATTAAAAAAAACTATCTCAAGAATTATAATAAAAATATCCAATAATTTGGGAAAATTGTTCATGTTTTAATAATTTATTCTCTTTTCTATTTCTCACAATTTGTCAATATTTGAGTTTTTCTTCCAATAAAACATAAAAAAAAGCATTTGTGTTTACATAACTGCTTTATCTTCCTTTAATTTTTAATATTTCAATACTTTCGATGAGAGTAGAACTCTCTTAAGAATGTCATTCCACTTAGTTTTTCCTCTTAGAGAAAAACAATTTTGATTTAATTTATAAATTTTAAATTAAGAGGAAGTAATTGAAAACAAACAAAACAAACATCAAAGAGAAAAATAATTAAATGCTCTGTATACATAATGAAAGAATTTTTATTAATATATATAATTTTTATTAACATATACACATATATAATATATATGTATATATTATATATATATATAAACGATCAACAAGGTAAGTATACATTTCCATGGCTCGCATCGGACAACGCGTTCATCAGGTGTGCGCAGTATCCTCGGATATGTTTTGTAAAATTGTTTAACCTGATTGGACGGTACTTGTACTGTACAGTGCTGCCATCTATCAGCACATACAAAAATAATCAATCCGCTTTCGTTATTTTTCTTAAATCCCGTATGTACATAAACGTCATTTATTTGTACAACAGATCGATTCAAAAATAATCACGCACATCACAGCGATGGGATCTGCTTTGTCGACGACGTTTTAGTCGATTCGTCTAGCTGCATCGATTCTCGTTAGTGTCGAGAGGCGACGAGATGCGGAACGATTCTCACTATTTTAGGAGTCCTTCCTCGAGCTGATTCGAGGATAAAGCTGAAAACGGAAACATTAAACAAAAAAAAAATTGAGTGCAGTTCGCCACGTGCCGGTAAATTTTCGAAATTCTAATTATTCGGGAGTATCGAAATTCATTAATAACTGCGACTCACCCCCAACAAATTTCTAGGAACGTAACCTTCCCTGTCTTTGAGTTTGGTCCACCACCATTCTCTCTCCATTTCGTCTCCCTTCCTCAAAACCACCATTTTATCCCCCTCGTGAAAGCTTAATTCGTCCGGATTCTGGCTGTCGTAATCGTAAACGGCGTAGACGACTCCGGCATTCAGAATACCCAATTTCTCTTGAACACCTGAGAAGAGAAACCCCATTACTCTGGAGAAATCCGGTGAAAAAAATGTTTGAAAAATTTCACTTACTGTACAAATATTCGGAGCATCCATCGAATCCTTCTTCGTCCTCCTCGCATTTTTCCGCTGCAGTTTCATGATCGCTGAGCGTGGTGGCGAATATACAAGCACCATGTTCTACCAAGTACTTCACCATGGGAAGATTATTACAGGACGCCGCGCAGTGTAATGGAGTCCTGCAATAGATAATTAACATCTTAAACGTATTCGTTAACGCACAGTACGATGAACATTTAAAAAAAATAAAGAAAATTTAATAAACGCATATTTCTACCTATATTAACCGGTAAAGCACGTCGTATGTAACCAGTGATCCGCCGGTTCATAAATTATTAAAAAATATGATACCGTACGGAGCTTTCTATTCGTCCATCGAACAGGACACAAAACGTCACGTTATTCAGCCATTAATATCATGTAAGAGATACGGTTATATTTGTGAGAAAGAGAGAATAAGATCATCCGCTTAATTGAGTATAAAAATTTAAATATTACGAATCACGCGAGATTTTAATAAAACTTTTCCGACCGTCAGAAAATCCGTAATTCTAATATTTATAAAAAGTAATTTACGGGGAAGAGAAGCAGAGATGGCCCCATAAACACGTAAATTTCCATTTTGACTCTCGTCCGGGGGGGATATTAAATAACAACCGAAGAAAATCTCGACAGAAATTAAAAAGAAGTTGGAGTAATCCGATACAGTAAATTTGAAAAAGAAGTTAATCCGTTTATATCGATTTTACCGCCCGAGGGAGAAGCCTAACAAAACCATAACCGGATTGTAATAGGCCGCAAAGTGTCCGGAGTGGAAAACGGATAATTACATAAGTGAAACTCACCATCCATCGCTATCCTGGGCGTTGACGTCGCATCCATATTCCACCAGATACCTGACGATTTCGAAGTGACCGGCACAGATGGCGTTGTGTAGGGCGGTTATTCCTTCGTCATTTGCGGCGCTCGGATTCGTTACCTTCCAAGAAAAAAAGGAAGTTGCATTAAGGAACACTTCCTGTCCAATAGAACTTTCCAAGAAATAGCACTTAAAAACTCTTCGTAAACCGATAAATCGACCGTCTCACAGCAGCTATGCAAATCCGTTATTTATAATTTCTTTGATTAATTTATAAACCGGCAGATAAAATTACTCATTACGGACGCGTTTACTCGTATAAAATGGTAAAACTTTAATTTTAATAAATATTACTAATAAAGTTGGGAGATTTATCTTTACCTCTGCTGTGGTTTTTCTGACAAGCTCCACTTCTCCTTCTAAAGCTGCATCGAGAAGAAGGGCGAGAGGGTCGAAACTCACCCGCCTAATATTTTTTGCAGACCCTTTGGTTTTCAGATTTCCTTTTTTAGCTCTCCGAATGGCTGGTCCCACGTGACTTTCTCTGACGCTCGGCTGTTGTTGCGCATCTTCCGGACTTTTTTCTATAGATTGATCTGCGATAGAGCATTCGGAGTTAAATCGCATTGTATTGTTCGGAAAAAAGAGAAAGTGGCTCGCTCTTACCGATTTTTTCGTTGGTTCCGCCGTCGCCATCCGTTCTGATCTCTTGGGGTTCCGATCTTTCGGGATCGCCCGATTTGAGACTATCTTCGCGTCTCTTTGTCTTGCCGGAAGCGTGACTTTCGTTTTCTTGCGAAGATGCGGGATTTAAGTCTGCGGGTGGCGTCTGACCCTCTGGAAAAAGGAATGCTGGAGGCATTTCGATGCGACGATTGAGTGTGATGTGAATGCTGTGCACGTTGGAACTGTTCTGTGATGAATTGCTACCGCTCTTGATTCGTAATGACGGATCGATCAGATTGGCATTTTGATCCGAGGCAGAGTTTTCTGTCCTATCCGCTTCGGGGGATGTCTTGAATTGAGACTTGTTATCTGAGTGTGGATGAGGAAAATTTGTATGTGGTCGATTACCATATCTGAAATATAAAAAAGTGACAAACCGAAATTAAAAATCCGTTAACGGTCATTTTTAATTAGTTACTTCATAGACCAACCGTTTTGGAATTATACGTATCAAAATTGAGCAGATAATCGTCATAATTTAACGGATTATTTCCTATCTTACGGACAGAGAATAATTTTTATTGCCTCATAGAAACTTTTTTGAATCATCAAAAGGCGCATCGTTTAACGCATTAAACCATAAAAATTCCATTCTTTTAAAATGCCATAAAATGAATTCCTTTAAAACTGTTATTTTATTCCAATTAGTCGAGTTAAAACAAACCGCAAAAAACGAAGGGAAAAAAAATCTACCATCCACTTATTCTCAATTACAGAAAGCCGCCTTTGCAAATCAAAAGCTTTCATTTCTGCCAGCTCTATTTAAAGTTATTATGATTAATTTCTACAAAAACTAGACAAAAGATCTACTTCAGCGAAATCATAAATTATTTCCTATATTTATCTTTGTTTCGCAGCGGACAAACACAAAGCTTATTCTCCAAAAACGATTTTAAACTTTCATTGCAAGTATATACTAGAATAAACAGACGTTTTCACTATTTACAAAGAATGAAATAAGGAAACATTTATGATAAATGCAAAGGTCACACAGTAACGTCATAGAAAGGAGGTGCCGAAGATTTTCATCATACAAAAATAACTATAATAGATCACGGAGATAACAAAATTACATAAAACTCATTCGAAATTATAAATCATCCGTAAAAAATTCGTATGTAGAATTTATTTTTAAAAACTCGCTAAAAATAGTTTTTTAAACATTTTTTCTTTATTTTCTTTACGGTAAACTTCCAGAGAACATCCATTATTTCGAAAATTCTTCTAATATGTCTTTATACTGACAGATTTTTATCGATAAGTTAAAACACAAAAAAATGCCAAATTCCCTCGATAACTCAATAGAACTTATTAAAGAACAAATTCACTGCTAAAAATCTCATTTATCTTTTAAATTGTCGAACAAGACAATTCCATTCAATAATCAGCCAAGAAATTCCCCGAACTGAAGTTACTTGATGGAATCGTTGTGGTTTTAATTATTTATAAATTCTACAAATTGTATTTTTGTACAAAAAAAAGACGTGTAAATCGAATTTTTAAAAAAACTCGATAATTCAGCAAAAAATATTTCCAATTTACTGTAAAATTATTTAAAAAATACATTAACAATAAATAAAAAATATTATCTATTTTAACAGATAATTGCTTTTTCAACCTTGAAAATATGAAAGGTTGAAACGTTTACATTGGAAATACCAAACGTAAACGTATATTTGTGGAAATAATATTGCCTAAGGACCGGAAAAACATAACGAAATAATTTATAATGGCCATCTAATACATAATTATGGCAAATTTATTAGAAAAAATTATCTAACGAATGAAAGTCCATTTGATTTCATGAAAGATGAACAAGTTTGATCGATTTACACTCGAATTCGAGTAGCGAACGTGGAGGAGATTCATTGTTTTTCAATGTTGAAAATGCCATTAAGTTGTCGAACGAAATCGTTTTTCGCGATTAGTATTCCGCTAGCAAACTGCTAGAACTATTTTAAGCCAATGGGGTTTTATCGTTTCCGGATTGAACTAAAGACAAAACTCTTCCGAATAGAAACGGTATCAGAAATTTTATAGGAAGTTCTCAAATTCCTTGTAAAAATAATAATTATTGCTTATTTTATTCAATTATATTTTAAAAGTTGTTTCCATTATCTAACTTCAAAGTGAAAATTTCGATTTGCATAACCATTCTTAACTTGAAACTAGTTTTGACAGATATAATCGTGTTAAAAATTGCGTAGTTATCCGATTTTTTTTTTACAAGTCAAATATGAAAATAGATTGAAGCATTTCGATCCAAACTTATTAGTAAACCGACCTTCCAGTAGCCCGAAGTCAACGAAATAGTGCAATTTAATGAAAAATCTTTTATTTTTTAAATAAAATATTTCGGATAGAAACAAATTCAAAGATATTTGACTGGATTTTTACCTTATTCTACCCATTTATATGCAAACACAATTTACGTACTTATAGTTTTACGTACGTAAAACTATAAGTACGTAACTTACAATAACGAATAAAACACTATTTCGAGGTATAGAGCCGATCACTTCCGTTCATTTTGTTACATCTACAATTACAAATTATAGAAATAAATGATAATGCCATTTTAAATCACTTTAATAATGATAAATAAACGGCAATTTTCTGATTTCCGTCTTTCGGGATTTAAAAAAATATTCACGCAAACGAAAACTTATTTCCATTATTGCAAATTTCGTTTACAGTGAAAATATAAATGAGACGGATTTTGTCGGACAGCACGAACAGACGCGAGAAAATAATACCTGCAAATTAATCAAATGTATTATATACCGGTTGCAATCTAGACCGGGATTATTCATGTATGGCAACATTAGACAATCCTGCTCCATTAAAAGGGGGAAGGGTTATTTCGCCCTTCAACGCTAGTTATAATTTATAATAAACATTAATCAATTGTTAAAGCGTGTTACACGATATTCGAGGTTAACTATATTCATTAACACGTATATTTATCGAACGAATAGTTATTATAAACAGTTCCGTCTCGATACCAGATCAGATTGGCCAAACGGAACTGCTTACGAGAGAGTAAATTTGTAGGAAAATGTGGCGAGTCGAGGACCAACAAACATTTCAGCGAGCGGGCGTTAACGTCGAGAGACGACGTATCCTATTACTTCCACCAGGAACAGGAGAGGAAAGGGCAGGAAATGCAATTTACATGACCGGTAACGGCAGCAATAAGCTGCAGTAAACAGCAACGCTAACAGAATGAAATTGATTAAGGAGATAGTTAGATGGCCTCATTAAAGGCAGAAGCGCCGCATAACGGTAGATTTCGTAAATTACTTACCGATAAGAATCGCTGGCATTGGGATTCTGACAATGAATGAGTCGAGGAGGAGGTAAAGGCTTGCTGGGAGACTTGCTGGGCAAGGGTTTGGCTTCTCCTTGTTCGCTGGTCGAATGACTAGGAGATTCCGACGGCTGCCTCGGTCTAGGGGGTGGCTGTCGGTGGAAGGATGTCACCGGTGGCCCTCCCGAAAATCCTTTTCGAACCGACGATGGAGCGATGGAGTTTGCAGCCGGTTTGATCCACTGCTCTTTGGTTACTTGTGTCGGCACCTGGAATATTTTATTTTGTTACAAATCTCTGTCCAAGTTTCACGCGAAGACTGCTTAATACGAATTAAAACCGCTTCAAACGGTAATTAACGATTTTTTAACCGATTAAAATTCAGACTATTCGAATAAGATCTAATTACACAAAATTATGTTTCCTGTGTCGAAGAAAATGCCATGTTCTGTCAACAAAGTTTTATTTTTTTTACGAAGCAGAAAAACCGATTTGGAAAAATCTCGTTCGAAATTGATTTCGAACGAGATTTTTCAAAATTCGGTCCTCGGGCGAGTAAATTAAATCTACTGCGGATGTTCTCAAAATATATTACCAAGCACTTCTCTTGTAATGAGCTCGTCAATATTGAAGCCTTATGCAATGTGTACATAAATAATGTTGTATCGTTTCGATAATTACATCGGAGGAAGCTCTTAAAATGACCTCTAACAATTTACTCGGTGATGTCTCAAGTCCACACACTAGCTGCTAATGTATAGCGTGTTTTAAAAATGATAACGATAAGCAAAACTTTTTAAAATCAAGTTCTCTTCGAATGAAGATAGGAAGTTTGTTCGAGTGATGGCAAATGCACAATAAAAACCGGCTGTGCAATCTTTCCATTACCTTTGGATGAATAATGGGGTGGGTAATAAAATGTTTTCCCCTTTCGAGACTTCAAAACTATGCTCCTTAATGTTTAATGTAAACAATTTTTGAAAAATGCCATTTTTTATATTAAATATTAAAATATTTCACAAGTATATTCTCTAGCGATTTTTCTTCTGGAAATTTTAGTTATCTTATCAGAAGTTTTTCTTTCTTTAAGAAAATAAACTCGAAACTAAATTTCTTAAACTGTTGTTCATTTGGAAAGAGAAAATCGACGTTGCTCCAAGCTAAAATGACAAAACGGTTGATAAAAAGTTTCGCATTTCCGAGATTGCTTCGGATGGAATAAAACAGATTAGAAATAATGTAAAAAAAGGTGATATTCATTTTTATTTGTGAAAAAATTTACATTTTATAACACTCTTCGAAGTGTCTATTCAGATTTTTTTTTAATAAAAAGTGATTTAGAAAAAATTCATGGCTTTTCATTTATAAAATTTTAAAAGTCATCCATTATTCATTTACCTATAAAAATAAAATGCATTAATTCAAAGTATAACAACAACGAAGACAAATTCTTCATTATAGCAACTTAAAATGAAATTTGATTCGATCGATCTTGAAATTCCACTTATAAAAGATACGAAAATATTTGATTAAATACGCTTCTCCGGTTAGAAAAATTCTCTTATTTCGATACAGATTCAATGATACACACAAATTTTATCGCCTTTTCAAAAGTTATGTAAAGCTGCTTCTCTCATCAATCATCGATGCTAATTTAATCCAATATGTAGATGATTCATCGTCTTCTTTCATCCAGTGTTTCTCAATTTGGATGCCTAATAAATGAACACTCAACAATCTAATAAATTAAAAACTCCTTCGACAGTAATAGCAAGACATTTTGGAAAATCACGTTCTCTCCATCCTTTTCAGCGAATTAAGATAAAGATAAAATTTTTTGATCATCAATCAAGCGTTTTAAATTATTTAAATCGGATCTACAGCCATTATTTGTATAATTTTCTATTAAGTAAGTAAGGTAGAAATAATACAATTTGAAGAGTAATACCAAAAATTTATTATTATTATTTTTAAAACCAAATACGTTGTCACATAACCTTACATCATTTAAATAAATATTAAGATTGGAAAATTATTGCAAAAATAATCAATTATAATTCAAATGTAATAAAAGTAATTTGTTAAAACTCATATTTTACAAAATAAATTTTCTGTTTTTTTATTATATTATATTACACATAAAATATCAATTTTTTAGCTTATAAAACAAAAGAAAAAAAAATTTAATGAACATTTGCTATTTCTGTTTCACGACTTGATCAAATCACACAGTCGACAAAGTTGTGAAGTGCCAGTTTTAAATATGCACGTACTGTATTTAGTTTAAGCTTTTACATTTATTTTTAATGCAAACTAGTTCACTTTTTTATTCTTAAAAATGTAATCTAAATATAAATTTGAATAAAGAATAAATTTGATGAGCATATTTTTTATTTATGCTAATTCCTGACTAAAGAACTGCCTGAAATACTTTAATAAATTACTATATTTTCAGATCAAAATATAAGTTATATTATTTTTCACAAGAAAAATTCTTGTTTAATATAAACCTTTAGAAATTTCTTAGAAAATGCAAAAAAGTATTTAAACACTATAATATTTCCTAAGAGATTATATTTTCTTCTTTAATCAAAGACGTGTAGGTGTAATATTTGTTAAAATAACACACGTCGTTAACTTGATTCATATACAATATAAAAATAACTTTACTTTCCTTCTTAATATGAAACTTCTTTACATTTATTCATATTTTTTCGATTTTCCAATAGACTATTGCAAGTCATACGAATGCGGGCGAAGTCAATCGTTACATTTTCCAATAAAATTATCATTAATCAATTTTAATTATTATTAATTTTTTACATTATATAACTTATAATTATGATTCTTTTCGTCGCAAAAGCGATATTCGATATCAATCAATATCATTATCAATTTGCAAAAGTGTAAATTGATTCTTTAGTCAATAAGTAAAGTTTAAGAATGTAGAGAGTTTTCTTTTTTTAAAATCAAGATAAGAGTATATTGTATATTTTAAACGTGGGTCTTCCATATAAACAGCAATATAATAGATTTAAATTAATTAAATTATATAGCCTAAATCAATTAGCGTGATCTCGAAAGAGAAATCGAAATAAATTTATCTTAGATATTTCGCTAATGTGATGAAATTCGTAGTGATTAAAAGGCTTTCTCGTTCTCGTATCATTATCCCATCCTCATAGAAAAAGTTCAGCTTATGCGCATATTTTATCGAAAACAAATGATAAAAAAATTTCCGTTTTCACAAAATTATATCCTAAAAATGATTACGTAAAAAAAAATTCAATATTTACAACATTAAATACTAGTTTCGGAGGACAACAAAATCTGTAAAGAAAATGACTTCGTTTTTTTTAACGAAATGCTGTTTAACAAAATAAAAATATATTTTACTGTTTCATTCAAAATACATATTTATTTCTCTGCATGATTTCACTAAAAGTAATGGCAATTCTTATATATTGTTCAATATATAAGCTTACATTTTCTACTGTCCATGCGGATATGAATGCGGGCTATTTTCATCGATTTATATAAAATACCGCATCATTTCAAGTAAAATACGACGAAATTACTGCTTTCAAAGAACAATGACTCAATTGAAATGAATTGTGTAATAAAAAACAGTCTTCAATCATATTGAAATGATTAAAAGATCGTATATCTTGTAGGTCTGTAAAAGCAATTGTCCGTAGGTTTTAACATCAAAACTATTGGTTAAATTTTCAATTTATTAAAAGGATCATATCAGATAATGTTAAACGATGTATCTAAATCTTATTATTATTATTTTTTCAGTAAATTTCATTTATTATATTCATTGGATGACAGCTGATGTTTTAAAAAATATCAAACTTCCTTATTAGTTCGTCAATTTTGACGTTATAAAGAAAAATTAAATCAATGTTCATCGAGAGAGAAAGAGAGAGAGTGTGTAAAAAAAGAAAAAGAAAAAAGAAACTTACCGTCGTGATTGCGTTACTTTTATTGGGAAGATTTTGATTTCGAGAGCTGGGAAGATGGGATACTAACAACGAAGAATTGTAAGTGGTGCCGTATGGACGAGGCGCCAAATTACTAAGTCCCTGAGGTGGTGTGGGTTTTACAGATGCTACTGGGCCCTTATTCTGTCCCGCAGGGATACCGTTTTGCACAATGGGTTGTGGTTCTTCTGGCCTGCCAGAATTTACTTCCTTCCTTACCGGAAATTTGGTGTTGTAAGGAAGTGTTTGATATTTGGGATCTTTTTTGTTTGGAGCAAAATCGCCCTCCGTCGAATGAACTTTAGTAATAATGTCATCGTGACTTCTATCGGGTTCTTGCACCACACGCTTGACTGGCTCTACTGCTGCCACATTTGACGTCAAGTTTCGAACTCTAGAATTTGATTGTTTGGCAAGAGTCACCGCTTGGATATGATTAGCCAATTGTTGATTATGTACGCGTTTTCGATGAAGTCGTTGTTGCAATTCTCGAATTCTCTGATCCATGAGAGTGATTTCTTCCTGCCTCTGAGATAACGTCTCTCTTTGTTGCGCTATTCTAGCGTTCTGTTGTTCTGTCAAATTTGCGCGATACTAAAATAAAACCAGTTTTATTTATTTTTTTTATTTGGAATAAATATAAATTAATTTTAAATCATTAATAAATCTACCCACTACCAATTCTTGGCGTAATTTTTTCAATTCCATAGCAGTCGTTGTTGTTCCGTTGGTAATTTTTCTTCCAGCTAAATTGCCCTGTCTCAGTTCTTCTAATTGTTTGGTGAGCTCTTCTACTTTGGCTACAGCCACTGACAATTCTTTTTCCTTTTCATTAAATAATGCTCGAACAGAATCCAATTCTGCGGCTGGAGAGAGTACGGGCATACGTTATCTTTCTTAATATAATTCAAATAAGGGTTTATAATTATTTATAAAAAATTAATTATGTTAAATATAAATTAAAAAATTATATTTTGACATGTTAAACTAATTATTTTAACTCCACTCTTCAATCAGAGAATAGCAAAAGGCATTATCACTCGGTTCTAGATGGATAAGTTAATTTATTAGAGAAAAAATTTTTCAAATTAAACCTTAACTGAAGTGGTTTATCGGTGCGTGAAATGAGGGTAATAAATAGTCTACTTAAGACGGAACATTGATGGAAGAAGACAAGAACAGATATATTGTTGGCTCATTAATGAACAAGACAGTAACAACGACAGTCATTGATTTGATAGAAGACATGCTGTACAATTTTATATCCGTTGTGCTTTCGAATAGAATGGCTGAATTTTTTCCTAAAAGTAAATAGCCGAAATCAATTTACACAGCTTGAATATATATATAATGTTACAGTGAAACGACTTTTTCCACCAGACAAAACATGTTCCGAAGTTCTCTAGGGTATCGATAGTTATCATCATCTTTAATTATTCAAATTTAATTAATGTAATCCTTATTTCAAAGTATAATTGTTTAATTATTTCTTGTTTGTTACAATTATGTGTTTAATATATTAATTATGTTAAAAGAAAATAATATTTCTTTAAATAAAGAATTTTCTTATAAATTTTTCAAAATATAAATAACGGTTTATTCATTTGAATATTTCAAAATGCAAACTAAAACCGTAAAAAGTACGAAATACTGAAAAATATAAAATTGAAAAGAAGTATAATACCAATTAATTTATTGTAATCTAATAATAGTTTTGTATGAAAAAGCCGAACTATTTTCAATATACAGTATATAAAAAAAACGAAATTAAATAAAATCAGAGTAAAGTACGAAAAATTTGTATTTAATAAATTTATTTATTAATATAATATAAAATCCTTTATTTTAGATAAAATTTAATGATTAAATATATAACTTCTTTATAATACTTCAAAACTTTACGTAATTTAAACAGATTTCCGATAATCCTGAAAACATTACAATACGATTTAAAACTATACAAATTTCCCTATTACTTAGTATTTAAATGGAAAAACTCTAAAACTGTTCTGTTAAAATATATTTTGTTATAAAATAAAACGACTGTTTCAACAGATTTCAAACCTTAAAGCATATAACAAATTAAATACAGATACAAAGACTGCAGAGAGAAAAACCACGTAAAAGCTAACAGTTTTGGCGATAATACATTGAATATCAGACAAGATAATATTTATAATGTGCATAAAAAACATAGATTTGCAAATTGGCAGAAAAATTCTATATTAAGTTCATAAAGGCAGAACCTCTTAGTCTTTCTTTATATATTTAATAAAAAATATTTTTAATAATCGCAATTCTGAAAAGGCAAAAAAATTATTTATTTTGTGAAAGTTTATTTAATACAGACTGAATTCATTGCTCGTTAAGTTAAAACAGTCTGATATTCAAGATCGAAAAAATACTGTTTAAACTTTAAAGAATCGTAAAGGATACAAACAAGTTTAACAAATAAAGTTTCATATTTTTATTGAAAATGTGTTATGAATTAACTTACATCAAACCTTATATCTAAGCGTCAATTAAACAACCATACCTTTTTAAATCAAAAGTAATCTCTCAAATATTAAAACACACATAAAATAATAGATAATAATTCAACACGCCCACACAATTTTTAAAGAGTATATTAAAGTTTTTTATATTAACTCTGATTTCCCTAAAACTGGCAATGGATATGTTTTTAAAAAAATCAATCCTGATAGTCAAAATCATACCAAAACATAAAAAATGAGAAATGATATGCCTATTCACAAACTTTTACAGCAAATATATTTTAAACGTAATATAGTATTTCTTTTATTAAACGAGTGTTTCATAGTTAAATGCACAGCATTTCTTCGATTTAATGAAGTGATTTTTCTGGACCGAATCCATTTGAGTTTCCCAACTACAGCACCAGAGCGATAGAAGTCAAGTAAATACTGACTACTCGTAAAGAAAAGTTCATTTTTTATTCATTTTTACAAAATTCTTTGCCAAAGATTTCTAAATAAAGCAGTTCAAAAGATGAATTGATAACAAAAGAACATTTTTCACATAACTTCTGTAATAAGCAAAATAATCTAACAGTAGCTCATGATTAAGATATTTTATCTGTATCCAAATGTTGATCTACTGCAAAGAAATACAATACATATTTGAAACTTTTACGGTGTACTTTTTAAAAGATTAATTGGATCATTTCTTATCAATATTTTTTATTGATAAGAAATGATCCAATTAATCTTATATGATATAGATAAATGTACTATTATAATACATTAATTAAATAATTTATATTTAAATTATTTAATTAATGTGTCATAATAGTACAAATCTCTAAGGGAGTAGGAAATGTAAAATAAAAATACAGCAAAGTAAAATGTAAATATAAAAAAGCAATGCTTGTGATGAATTTAGAATAATTTTTAATGTATAGGGGAGATCGGGGCAAGATCGGCATGTTAAGCTTTACTTAAATTTTGTGTAATAAATACTGCTGTAAACTGAAAAAAAAGCTTTGCATATTGTCTATTGGAATGTTACCTTACTATAGAACTGGTTAAAATCAGTTTGGAAATAAAAATAATTAAAATAATTACAACTTTACAAGAAGAGAGAAATTGACGAAGTTGCCCCGGGTATAGGGGCAAGATCGGCAACTTCTCTCTTTTTGTAAAGTTGTAATTATTTTAATTATTTTTATTAAAGTTGCCCCTGGTATAGGGGCAACAGTAATGGGGCAAGATAGGCACGTATATAAAATTATGTTATTAACAATGTATAAGTTGGAATTCACTATTAAAACAAAGAAATACAAATCCAACACCCATTTAATATTATTACAACGAAATGCAAGTTCAAAGACATATATACATGAATAACAAATGCAAACATGTTTTCATTTATCATCTGTTTGATTTTTATCCTTTGCTTCTAATGTGGCTTTATGTTGCCGATCTTACCCCGCTAGTCATGATTTCGAAACATTAAGTACAACCCTGAGAACAGAATGCCAAGCCACGATCTGGCCACGTGAATAAGTTGAAGTTACATCCTTCTAACAGGAAAAGTAACTTTCGTTATCATGGAATTATAACAAAACCTGCCAATTCAATATAAATGGAAAAAAAATATTATATGGAATTGAACGAAAATGAAAATTTGCTTGATAATTCAACTACGCTTGTTGGAGAACAATAAAAACACTACACTCAACAAGCCACCAATAAAACTCAACTGCCTAACCTATAACCAAAGTCTCCTTTTAATTTGTTTTTTAAAAAAAGCGCTTGACAAACTTACCCCGCATGCCGAAGTTGCCCCGATCTCCCCTAATGTAATTATAAATATATTTTAGATAAAATAATGTTTCCTATACTAAAATTTGTTTCATACTGGTATTTGATATTGTAAATGTTAAATATACTTTATCAATTTAATGGCAACGAACTTTAACAAAACCTCTCTCACTAAATTTTTAAAATTTATATATATATATTTTAAATCATAGTAAATCTTAGATTTATTACATATAATATATACATTTTTAAAAATCTAAAATGTTATTGAAATTCAATTATAATCAGAATATTTGTGGACAAAAGAAAACAAATATAATAAATTTTCGATTTAATGGACTTCTAGTGAGAGAGATTTTGTTAAAGCTCGTTGCCAATTAATTGATATAAATTAGTAAAAAAACGAACGATTTTAAAAATTTATATGTATATACATTTACATTTTTAATCTTACTTTATCGATTTATTGGCTATACAGTATATATAACTTTACTTTGTCCTTAAAACATTTCATAAAGTAATTTACTAATGTATATAATGATAATTTATTATTAAAGAAACTGTTAAATTCCAAAAATTCTGAAATGAAATGCTATGCAATATTCATTTTTAAATAATTAAAAAAATATATATTTTTACTATATTTTTACATTTCGAGAATCTTTTTTCTCCTTTTAAGTTTTTTTTAATTAGTAAAAATCTTCAAAATTTTGCAACAATATTATTTTGATTTTTACTTGTATGCTATTTTTCAAATCTTTTTGCATTAAATTAATTTGACATTTGAGTACATATATATATTTTTTATTTCTGAGATTACTTATAACTTTTCCATGCCTTTTAATATTTTAAGATGTAAAAACATTATTTATAAACAAAAATTGTGTAATACCAGCAAAACAGAGCAGAAATAATAGATTAGAAATGGATTCTTGCAAGAAGGAAGCCAAATATCATCAATATTTTTGCATTATCTTCTAAATATTTTTTATGTAAGGTATGACATTGTTACTAAAGTAAATATTATTCAAAGTTTCAATATTAAGCAAGACTGGAAATATATTTTCATACAGAAAATGACTTTATTAAAACAAAAGAAAGATAAGTAAACACATTTGTAAAACTGAATTTCTGATCCTGTCCGGATTTTTTCTTTTTTACTTTATATGAAAATTCTAATTTATTATTTTTATTATTGATTTTATTTCCATTAATATCATGAAACGATAGCTTCAGATGTAATAAAATGATTTCGCTTCTTTGTATTATATTTTACGATATACAATTAATAATCGACAAATATAACTTGAAAAGACAAAAACAATTATTTCAACAAAATAAAAAAAAAGAACATTTTCACTGTTGATTTATTCCTATATACCTATAAACATATTACTTTTTCGGTTGACTATTTTCAAATTCAATTTCCCTTCTGACATCATTAATTATTCCTAAAATATGAAGTACAGTACATTCTTTATGTTGATATTATATAAGTAATGAATATTTTTCTGCTTTTAATAAAGTAAAAGGAATATAACTTGAATTCATTAAATAAAACATTTAATAAATTTTTCACGAAA